GCGCTCCAGAGAGTGAACTGCCCGCCCCCTCACAATCCGGATTGGCTGCTGAGCAGCAGCAAAGCACGCGGAGGAGACAGGTGTCGGAGGAGCCGGTTTGAACCGGCAGGCGCGAGACTGCGGCTCTGCGGCTGAAGTGCACGAGAAGAGAGCCGGGAAAGCGCCGAGGGTGGGAGGGGGGAGAAAGACGGCGGAGAGTGTGTGTGAGAGAGGAAAACATGGAGAAATGACACCGAGGGGCGACAGGGATAGAGAACGGGTTATACGCCGGGTACCCAGTGGGTTAGTGAAGGAGGTGAGAAGACACCCCGGATGTCAGCTGTGTGGTGTACACCATGTAATCTGTATACACAGCTCCTTCTAGATCACCCGGGTGACACAGGATGGGGGAGGGGGAGGATGTGGTGTACTGTGTACAGGATAGGGGGGATGGAAGGACATGAAAAGCGAACAATGGACTTCTCTTATCTGCTCCCTCTTGGTGTGTCATATGTACCATGGGGGCCTCTCACACCAGGGGGCCAGCAAGGCCCAACATACAAAGTTTCCTAGATTGCTATGAGTTCACTGCACACTATTCTGGGTGCTGGAGCGTGTGTAAACCGCATGAACCCACACGGGCCGGCAGACGTGGGGTGCCATTCATTCTATGACACCCCACCCAATGGAGAATGCAGCGAGTTTTCAGGTGCGCTAACCACGTTCTGCAAGTCGTGTGGTTCTGTGCGACTGCCCTGCTGGTGCGTTTTGGTAAAAGGTTCAGGGCGCGTTCACACCGGAATGCGGTGTGGGAGAGCCGCGGTCCCGTGCGTTCCAGTCGCAATGCCCTTGTGATCTGCGGGGGTCAGTTAAAAGTTAACGACACCCCAAACGCAGGTTGCAAATGCATTGTCTGCACCAAATCGCACGGTAGAAAGTACCATGTGATGTGTATATGTTTACCGCTGAGAGACTCGCAGTCTTCAAGCACAACTCCTGTAGGTTCTAGTCCATCTTGTGTCTGCATAGATGAGAACAAAGGACGTCCGATCGGCTGCACTCCAAATAATCCACTTTATTGAACCAAGATAAAACCAATACAGACAGTGGAAATAAAGTGGGGGACTGGCAGGTGAACGCGTTTCAGGCTGAAGACTGCGCTTGTTCAAACCCTTACCATGTGATGCGGTTGCCGTGCGTTTCAAAAAGTAGTGCATGCACTACTTTTGGTGTGATGCGATTTCAGGCCATTTATATAAATGGGCTGGGAATATCACCACACAGAGCTGCAGATGAAACACACAGCACGTTCCTGTGCGATTCAGCTCGGGCACAGTGTGAACCGGCCCTTGGGGACTGTTTCCCACAAGTACAGTAGCCCATTCCAACAAATAGGCTGCTGTGCCCGTGTAAATATACCCGAACAGAGCCACAATAGTGTGAACCTAGCCTAAAGACTAGGGGCTCTTTTACCCCCGGTTCACATATGTGCACGCCCCGTTTTGCATTCATTTGAATGGACTCCTATGCCCGTGACACGTCCCTGCACTTCTTCGGAAAACGCAGCCCGCACAGGAACCTCGGTTCCCAGTACGGTTGCGTTTACCAGTGCGGGCGCCATGTCATTAGAACTAATGGCAGCAGCCTGCGGGTCCGCATAGATGTGAACCTTGGGTTTTACCAGATGCAGTCCGGTGCGTTCTTCAACGCAGATTGAACGCATATGCAAGAGCGATGATTGTATTCCAATGAGCCAAGTTTACACCATTGTAGTGCCTTTATGTGTGCTTCAAAAAAGTATAGCATACTGAATTTTTCCACACCAAAAACGCACACAAATGAGAACACTCATAACTGCAACTTCGTAAGAAAAAACATTGAAATAAATGGAGACATTATTCCAAAAAACACAGCAATGCATGTCACTGCACTGATGCAGAGTGAGCGCAGAGATGGTAGTGTAAACAAGCACTAAAAATAGGACTTTTTTTTGCACAGCAAGTTGCACAGTAAATCATATTGCAATCTCCTATGGTGAATGAAGAGGAATGAATACAGATGAAATAAAAAAGCAAAAGAGAATTTATGACAAATCAGCTCTGCTCCCTTCACAGTCCAAGAAGTATTTTGTTATATCCACTTAATAAGTTCCAAAAATACAGTTTGATCCCCAGAAATGTTATCAGTTGGCCAGCTGGACTTCCTTTACCCCCTACTGATGCTGATCAGTTACATTGTTCCCAGTTTTCCTTGAGGACTACAGAACCCCTCCCCCCCATATTTTATGGAGAAGAATAGTGGGGGAGTGTTGTCCTATTCTAAGGTGACAATGTTGCTCCTCTAAAGATCAAGTAGAGTGAGTTGTCACCCTAAAACTGGAAATGAAAAAAAAATGATGGTAGCCACCGTATATCTACAGCCTGATAATCTGCAACATATTACATAATATATTAAATTTTGGTTGTCATTTGTTAGATACTTGATTAAAGGGATATTGGATGACTGTGGGGGTGTTGCTGTGGAACCAGTGAGGAGGGAGTCACCTTGGGGGGAGGGTTACAATCCAGAGAAAGCTGTTCTATAGAATGTCATTGTCTGGCAGTGTAGTACAAACAGCAATTGTGCGCTGTAACCTATAGTGATAATGCTCTAATCCATAGGGATAATGCTGTAACCATAGTGATAATGCTGTGACCTATAATTATAATGTTGTAACCCATAGCATAATGCTGTAACCCATAGCAATGCTGTAACCTATAGTGATAACGCTGTAACTCATAGTGATAATGCTGTAACCTATAACAATTACGCTGTAACCTACAATTATAGCACTGTAACCCATAGTGATAACACTGTAACCCATAGTGATAATCCCTTAACCTATAATTATACTGTAACCCATAGTGATAATCCCTTAACCTATATAATTATACTGTAACCCATAGTGATAACACTGTAACGTATAATACTGTAACAGTAACCTATAGTGATAACACTAACGTATAATTATAGCACTGTAACCCATAGTGATAATCTGTAATCCTCTAATTATAACACTGTAACCCATAGTGATAACAACGTATAATTATAGCACTGTAACCCATAGTGATAATGCTGTAATCTCCATAATGATAACACTGTAACCCATAGTGATAGCACTGTAACCCATAGTGAACCCATAGTGATAGCACTGTAACCCATAGTGATAACACTGTAACCCATAGCAACCAGCTCCAGCTTTCATGACTGATCACCTGAGCGCCTCTTATTAGGCTATAAGAGCCCCTCGATCGGCGGGGGGTGCAGTGATCGGCCGGAGTCTTGGGGGGTATATCAGGGAAGGAGCCCCGGGTCCTCTTCTGTTTACTGTAGACAGCCGTCCTCTCCGCTTCACCGGAGTCTCTCTACAACGATCGGGGGGTGCAGTGACAGAATACGGAGCGATCACTGAGCACCGCACCGATCAGCGCAGGCTGTGACGGTGATCACTGTTGGTGGGCAGTAGTCAGGACATATAGATGTGACGGGTCAGACAATAGTCGGTATAGATAGATATACAGGTGGAGGGGACACCATGGTGCCTGGCACGGAGCAGTCCTGTACACCACACCGGGAAGGTGTCCCTTCTATATACACTGCCGAGTCATCTCATGCAGTGACTGTACCCTCAATCATCACCACCCCCCTCATTATGATCACCATGTAGAAGTTCCCGGACACAGTGTGGGGAATCTACAAGTCTCAGCCCTGTCCTGTCACTGATGATCACTGTCAGATCTCCGGATGCTCTATGACTACATGTTTGTAGTCATTGATCTGGGTTGTCACCCCATTCCCCATCATCACCCCCTCTACCTCCATCCCGTACACGGGACATGACTGCTCACTTGCTGTCTTACCGGCTCAGCAGGCAGTTGTGAGGATGACACTGCACAGTGAGAGGGGATTTGGGCAGCCCGGTGGGTTATCTGGTCAGTGAGGTCGGTAGGTGGCCCCGGGGCTGCAGCGGATCTCAGGTTTCCTTGGCTTGGATGGGTGCCGGTGCCGCAGCTTCTACTCGTCCTTCTCGGGCCCGGCCGATTTGTTTTCTCATCTCTTTATTTCGGGTCCTTTTATTGCGGAGCTTCTGAGAAAAACAGTGAATGCATCTCATTGGCTTGACGTGAGCTAGAGACAGAAGTAACAATGAGAACTCGGCTCGATAGGGAGAAGAGATGGAAGGAAGACACAGAGTGAGCAGAGAGCTGAGTGAAGTCAGAGTGCAGAGTGTGAGATCGGAGGAGACTACCCCATCTGTACAATGGGCTCCTCTATACACAGGACGACCCACATCCCATCCCTGCCTTCATATCCCTGTTATTGGAGGATAAAAGGATTTCTTACATTATAGGCCTATTAAGAGCTGACATGATCCTGATCTCCTTGTGTCATACATCACATACTTCATCAGCATCATGATAATAACAGAAAATCTGCCTCTAATATTCCCAACCATTTGTACTAAGATTCCACTAGGGTCACTATGGGGAAACTTCTCTGGATGTGTATAGCTGCCAAAAAATGTCTCTTTTTGTTGTTTTCTTAGATGGAAACCTGACTCCAGATACACCGGACAATGGCAACTGAGAGGAGAGACAAAGAAGACAACGCACCATCACCCACCAAGCCAACAAATAGACATTGGAAGCCTCCTTCACCCTACAGACAAAGACATTGCTGGATAATGGCTGGGCAAGCAATACTCATGAAGAAATAAATGTCCTTTCTAAGAACTTGATATATCTATGATATAGGACATCTTCAACATCTCATATTTTCAGTAGCTCTTGCTTATGAGATCACAGTGTGCAACAAATAACATTCTGGATGTTTAATTAAATAATGAATCAATCAATTAATTAAATATTTAAGGTCTGTCAATTTACACAGTACTTTACATATATATTGTACATTCACATCAGTCCCTAATCCTCAAGGGGTGTACAAGGCCCCTAACTCACATTCATACAGATATATAAATGATATAATATATTGCCAAACGTATTGGGCCAGCCCTCCAAATCATTGGATTCAGGTGTTCCAATCACCTCCATTGCCACAGGTGTATGAAATCAAGCACCTAGGTATGCAGACTGCTTCTACAAACATTTGTGAAAGAATGGGTCACTCTCAGGAGCTCAGTGAATTCAAGCGTGGTACCATGATAGGTTGCCACCTGTGCAATAAGTCTAGCCATGAAATTTCCTGGCTACTAAACATTCCATGGTCAACTATTAGTGGTATTATAACAAAGTGGGAACAACAGCAACTCGAAGTGATAGGGCACATAAAATGACAGAGTGGGGTCAGCACATGCTGAAGCGTACAGTGCGCAGAAGTCGCCAACTGTCTGCAGAGTCAATAGCTAAAGACCTCATGGACATGTCTGGGTTGGGCAGTTGCCAAGAGAACAGTACTTTCCTGATTGCATTGTTCCAAATGTAAAGTTTGGTGGAGAGGGGATTATGGTGTGGGGTTGTTTTTCAGGGGTTGGGCTTGGCCCCCTAGTTCCAGTGAAGGGAACTCTTAAGGCGTCAGCATACCAAGACATTCTGGACAATTTCATGCTCCCAACTTTGTGGGAACAGTTTGGGGATGGCCCCTTCCTATACCAACATGACTGCGCACCAGTGTACAAAGCAAGGTCTATAAAGACATGGATGAGTGGGTTTGGGGTGGAGGAACTCAACTAGCCTGCACAGAGTCCTGACCTCAACTCGACAGAACACCTTTGGGATGAATTAGAGCAGAGACTGCGAGCCAGACCTTCTCGTCCGACATCAGTGCCTGACCTCACAAATGCGCTTCTAGAAGGGTGGGCCAACTCAGTTTTGAACCCAGGGGCAGACTGACCATTTGGAAAGTCAGGCACTGCCCGAGGGGCTGGGGTCAGTAGGGGGCCCATGAGATGCCCCTGGTACCTTTTTCATAGGCTTTTTTGAGTTTGGGCAAGGACACAGGGGCCCCATGATCCCATATTGCCCGGGGGCCCCATGAGTTGTCAGTCCTCCCCTGATTGAACCCCACAGACTAAGACTGGGATGCTATTAAAGTTCATGTGCGTGTAAAGACAGGCGTCCCAATGCTTTTGGCAATATAGTGTATATTAGTTAATGACATTTAAAGGAGCACCCAAAACCAATATTTAGAATGTCATTGCCGGTATGTAAGCTTCTGTCTAAGGGTTCATAAAGACTTGCACTTGGAGGATGAGCCATGTTTTTAGGACTGCTAAACTGCCCCCCCCCCTCAAGCTGCAAACGCAGCAGGGGATAGTGTTTACATGTCTTGGTCACAATACTTTGCTTTGTGCCCACAGCAAAAGTTATCGCTCCTGTTGCATTTAGCAGGCAGTATGCCCACCAAACGTGACCCATTTAAGTGGATGGGAAAGTGCCACAAATTCTCCACAATTGCATGTGATGCATACAGTTGCGAGGCATTGGTGCAGCAGTTATGGGGTTAAAATAGCACCTTTACACCTTTGAAAAGTGATCCACAAGCATATTTTCAGAGCAATGTGACAGACAGTGCAGTGGCATCATATCACCTCCTCAACACTTATCAAACAGCTCTGAAAAGCAATATGAATGCAGGTCACTTTTCAGAGGTGATGCAGTTTAGATGCAAGTCTAAACTTTACCCAAGCCGGGAAGCCTCTCTCCTCTTGCTATACCTACAGCTCTTACCTGTCTCTCTTTTGGAACCAAATCCTTCTGTCCCTCTTTCCTCCATTTTCCCTCTTTCATCTGATGTATTATTTAAAGCGGAGTTCCACTCAAAAGCGGAAGCTCCACTTATTTGCCTCCTCCCCTCCTCCACTGCCATATTTGGCACATTTTGGGGAGGAGGGGGAGCGGGTACCTGGTGTTGACAGGTACCTGCTCCCACTTCCAGCTCAGCTCGCCACGGCAAAGTGAGCCGGACGTTCGGCACCCTCCTTGCTCCCGCAGCCTCCTGGGAACTTTCACAGGTTGCAGGAGACTGCCGGACCGATCAGGAGGTGCGGTGTGACTCGCGCATGCACAGTGGGCACATCCTGGTGCCCACAGTAGAGATGCCGGCTCTGTGGAGGACAGAAGGAGAGAAGGGACGGCACGGGTGAGTACATTGCTGGTCCCCGGGACAGGTAAGTGTGTGTTTATTAAAAGTCAACAGCTACAGCTTTTGTAGCTGCTGACTTTTAATAGACATAAAAAAAGGCTGGAACTCAACTTCAACCACTTGCCTACCAGGCACTTTTACTCCATTCTTGCCCAGGCCAATTTTCAGCTTCCAGCTCTGTCACACTTTGAATGACAATTGCGCGGTCATGCAACACTGTACCCAAACTAAAATTTTATCATTTTTTTGAGACAGATGGAGCTTTCTTTTGGTGGTATTTAATCACCACTGGGTTTTTATATTTTTTGCTAAACAAACAAAAAAAGACTGAAAATGTTAAAAAAAAAAAAAAAAAGTTTTTCTTTGTTATAAAATTTTGTAAATAAGTAATTTTTATCCTTCACTGATGTGCGCTAATGAGGCTGCAGTGATGGACGCTGATAGGCTGCAGTTATGGGCATTGATAGGCGGCACTGGCGAGGAGGCACTGATGGGCATTAACAGGCATCACTGGTGGGCATTGACAGGCATCACTGATGGGCACTGAAAGGTCGCAGTCATATATGAAACTGATAGGTGGCACTGATGGACACTGATAGGTGGCACTGATAGGCTTCACTGCCTGGCACTGATAGGCAACCCTTATTGGAACTGTTAGGTGGCACCGATAGGCAGCACTGATGAACACTGATAGGCGTCACTGACTGGCACTGATAGGCAGCACTGAAAGGCAGCTCTGATGGGCACTGATATGTGCCATTGATGTGCGTTAATATGTGGCATTGATGGGAACTGGTATGTGGCATTGATAGGCACTGACAGGTGGCAATTATGGGCAGTGGCAGGTGGCACTGATGGGGCTACACTGATCATCAGGACACTGAGGGGAATTGAGGGGGCTGGGGGTACTGCTGCACACAGAAGGTTTTTTACCTTCATGCATAGAATGCATAAAGGTAAAAAACCTTGAGCTTTTACAACCACTGTAATTGAGACAAGTGCACACTATAGAGGGATATGCTTTGTTCATATTTTATGTCTGAGGTTTAAAACCACTTTAACCATTCTAAGTTTTTTACTGTGTTAAACCCGTTATCTAACTTTCAGATTATTACTTTTGTTATTTTGAAAAGTCAAAATAAAGGAAAAGTAGTGATGAAAAAAAGCAGTTTTAGGTTAAACTGATCATTGCTTTGCACATTGAGCCTGGGTTCACACTGATGCTGTGTGGAATTTGCACCGGTTTCTCATCATAATCGCATCATAATCGCACCCCATGCATACAAACCATTGAGGGTGTGTATTTTAAGTTAACGACACCCCGAAATCAGTTTGCAAAAGGTGGTGTGATGTGTGGAATTGGATCAGATTCTTGTGCAGACAAAAAAAGGGTCCTGCACTTTTTTGGTGCAGATGAGTTATGATTTGAGCCATACAAAATGTATGGCTCAAATTGCACCGAACTGAAATGACTTGTGATTTACACAGGAATGCGGTGCAGTGCCTACTCGAACCTCATACTGTGACGGAAGCATAGGCAGGACAGAACACACAAAGAAGATGGTAAACACACAAAGCTTTATTGAACTATGGAAGGCACTCAAGCCGGGTAGGAAGGTAGCGTCCAGGTACCCAAAAAGGGGAAGAGAGAGGAGGAGCCCAAAATAATTGTAATCCGGCCCACAATAGGGCAATCTAGGAAGCGATGGCCCAAGCACTCGGGGGCAGTCCAGGTAGCAATAATCCGGGCGCTCAATGGGGCAGTTCAGGTAGCAATAATCCGGGCACTCAATGGGCAGTTCAGGTAGCAAAAATCCGGGCACTCAATGGGGCAGTTCAGGTAAGGGTAATCCGAGCACACAATATGGGCAGTTGAGGCAAGGGTAATCCGGGCACTCAATGGGGCAGTTCAGGTAAGGGTAATCCGAGCACACAATATGGGCAGTTGAGGCAAGGGTAATCTGGGCACACAATAAGGACAGTTCAGGCAAGGGTAATCTGGGCACACAATAGGAACAGTTCAGGCAAGGGTAATCTGGGCACACAATAGGGAACAGTTCAGGCAAGGGTAATCTGGGCACACAATCGGGACAGTTCAGGCAAGGGTAATCTGGGCACACAATAGGGACAGTTCAGGCAAGGGTAATCTGGGCACACAATAAGGGCAGTTTAGGCAAGGGTAATCTGGGCACACAATAAGGGCAGTTCAGGCAAGGGTAATCTGGGCACACAATAAGGGCAGTTTAGGCAAGGGTAATCTGGGCACACAATAAGGTCAGTTCAGGCAAGGGTAATCTGGGCACACAATAGGGGCAGTTCATGGCCCTCCGCAACATGCGGCTTGTAGGGACACTCACGGCAGGCAGCTTGCAGACACTCAGCAGCAGGCGGCTTCTAGGGACACTAACGGTAGGCGGCTTGCAGACACTCAGCAGCAAGCGGCTTCTAAAGACACTCGATCAGTTGGCAGGGATCCTCACGGGGCTCAGCTTTCCAGGGACGACAACAGGCTCACGGGGACTGAGCGGGATCTTGGCTGTGGGGTCTGACCTCAGCTCAGACCTCACACAGCTTTCAAGGGACAAAGCGGTCAGCAGACAGGGATTCTCACGGGCTCAGCTTTCCAGCGACAACAGCAGGCTCATGGGGACTCAGCGGGGTCTTGGCTGTGGGGTCAGACCTCAGCTCAGACCTCACACAGCTTTCCAGGGACAAAGCGGTCAGCAGACAGGGATTCTCACGGGGGTCAGCTTTACAGGGACAACAGCAGGCTCACAGGGACTCAGCGGGTTCTTGGCTGTGGGGTCTGACCTCAGCTCAGACCTCACACAGCTTTCCAGGGAAAAAGCGGTCAGCAGACAGGGATTCTCATGGGGCTCAGGTTTTAAGGGACGACAACAGGCTCACGGGGACTGAGCGGGATCTTGGCTGTGGGGTCTGACCTAAGCTCAGACCTCACACAGCTTTCAAGGGACAAAGCGGTCAGCAGACAGGGATTCTCACGGGCTCAGCTTTCCAGCGACAACAGCAGGCTCATGGGGACTCAGCGGGGTCTTGGCTGTGGGGTCAGACCTCAGCTCAGACCTCACACAGCTTTCCAGGGACAAAGTGGTCAGCAGACAGGGATTCTCACGGGGGTCAGCTTTACAGGGACAACAGCAGGCTCACAGGGACTCAGCGGGTTCTTGGCTGTGGGGTCTGACCTCAGCTCAGACCTCACACAGCTTTCCAGGGAAAAAGCGGTCAGCAGACAGGGATTCTCATGGGGCTCAGGTTTTAAGGGACAACAACAGGCTCACGGGGACTCAGCGGGGTCTTGGAAGTGGGGTCTGACCTCAGCTCAGACCTCACACAGCTTTCCAGGGACAACAGCAGGCTCACAGGGACTCAGCGGGGTCTTGGTTGTAGGGTCTGACCTCACACAGCTTTCCAGGGACAACAGCGACAGCAGGCAGGAGTAACCTCTAGAGACCCAGCGACAGTAGGCAGGAGTAACCTCTAGGGAACCAGCGACTGCAGGCAGGAGTAACCTCTAGGGACCCAACGGATCAGCAGAGCACTCAGCGGGGTCTGGCTGTGGGGTCTGACCTCAGCTCAGACCTCACACAGCTTTCCAGGGACAGCAGCAGGCTCATGGGGACTCAGCGAGGTCTTGACTGTGGGGTCTGACCTCAGCTCAGACCTCACAGCTTTGCAGGGACAACAGCGACAGCAGGCAGGAGTAACCTCTAGAGACCCAGCGACAGTAGGCAGGAGTAACCTCTAGGGAACCAGCGACTGCAGGCAGGAGTAACCTCTAGGGACCCAACGGATCAGCAGAGCACTCAGCGGGGTCTGGCTGTGGGGTCTGACCTCAGCTCAGACCTCACACAGCTTTCCAGGGACAGCAGCAGGCTCATGGGGACTCAGCGAGGTCTTGGCTGTGGGGTCTGACCTCAGCTCAGACCTCACAGCTTTGCAGGGACAACAGCGACAGCAGGCAGGAGTAACCTCTAGGGACACAGCAACAGCAGGCAGGAGTAACCTCTAGGGACACAGCGACAGCAGGCAGGAGTAATCTCTAGGGACCCAGCGGATCAGCAGAGCACTCAGTGGGGTCTGGCTGTGGGGGTCTGGCCTCAGTTTAGACCCCGCACAGCACCCTGTCCTGAGCGGGGGACGAACAGCCACATGTTGGGTCCCGCGCCGGTCTTCTTAAGTCGGCGCAGGACGCTTCCCAGTTGCACCGGCAATGGCCGGCCCAGCGTCGAGTTGCCGGGCAATGAGGCACGCCCCCCTTACTCGGGCCATGCTTCGGGACTGCGGCCTTTGTCTCCGGGAGGCGCAGAGCGCGGGAAGCCTCGTGCCCGTGCTGCGCCCATCGGGGGGCACGCGGAGACAGGTCGGTGGCACTGCGCTGGGGATTCTTGGTGGGGGGGCCTGAGAGGTGCTAACCGCACCACAGGGGCCACTTCCTCTTATCCTGCCGCAGCCTGTCTTCAAAGGCTGTGGCAGGATAAGAAAACTCGGCAAGGGGGGAAGGAGGGGGGTGAGGTGACAACAGGCCGGGGGACAGCAGGCACAGGGGGGTGAGGAGGCATGGGCACTCTGTGACAACTCCTCCCCCTTTCATTTTACAAGTGGCGGCAAGGGGACCTCAACCGGTCTCCTTGGAGGCACTTGTGGGGTGTTATCGCTCTCCATCATCTTCTTCCGCGTTCTGATCCTCCACCGCTGCCACCAGTATGTGACGGAAGCATAGGCAGGACAGAACACACAAAGCTTTATTGAACTATGGAAGGCACTCAAGCCAGGTAGGAAGGTAGCGTCCAGGTACCCAAAAAGGGGAAGAGAGGGGAGGAGCCCAAAATAATTGTAATCCGGCCCACAATAGGGCAATCTAGGAAGCGATGGCCCAAGCACTCGGGGGCAGTCCAGGTAGCAATAATCCGGGCACTCAATGGGGCAGTTCAGGTAGCAATAATCCGGGCACTCAATGGGGCAGTTCAGGTAGCAATAATCCGGGCACTCAATGGGGCAGTTCAAGTAAGGGTAATTCGAGCACACAATAGGGGCAGTTCAGGCAAGGGTAATCTGGGCACACAATAGGGACAGTTCAGGCAAGGGTAATCTGGGCACACAATAAGGACATTTCAGGAAAGGGTAATCTGGGCACAAAATAGGGACATTTCAGGCAAGGGTAATCTGGGCACACAATATGGGCAGTTGAGGCAAGGGTAATCTGGGCACACAATAGGGACAGTTGAGGCAAGGGTAAACTGGGCACACAATAGGGACAGTTCAGGCAAGGGTAATCTGGGCACACAATAGGGACAGTTCAGGCAAGGGTAATCTGAGCACACAATAGGGACAGTTCAGGCAAGGGTAATCTGGGCACACAATAGGGGCAGTTCATGGCCCTCCGCAACATGCGGCTTGTAGGGACACTCACTGTCAGACACTCAGCAGCAGGCGGCTTCTAGGGACACTCGATCAGTAGGCAGGGATTCTCATGGGGCTCAGCTTTACAGGGACGACAGCAAGCTCACGGGGGGCTCAGCAGGGTCTTGGCTGTGGGGTCTGACCTCAGCTCAGACCTCACACAGCGTTTTAGGGATATAGCGGTCAGCAGACAGGGATTCTCATGGGGCTCAGCTTTCCAGGGACAACAGCAGGCTCACGGGGACTCAGCGGGGTCTTGGCTGTGGGGTCTGACCTCAGCTCAGACCTCACACAGCTTTCCAGGGACAACAGCGACA